AAAATCATAGTGTTACCAGGTTTGGTCCTTCAGTGTATGGTGTAAAGCCACACGGCAAGACACAACACACCACACACGTAAAGATATTTTATTCATGAACATTCAAATGTCAGATTTTAAATCACACGAGACTTTCTGAAATCTCGCGAGAATTCATATGTCCGAGGAAAAAATCTCACGTGACCTCCAGAGAGACGTGAGTTCAGAGTAAATAAACAATGTTGATTGTTTGTGGACCATTTTTACCAGAGGAAAAAACAATTCCATAGGACTTTTAACATTCAGCAGATTTTCTGGTGAGTCATGACAGTTTTTTGTGTTCTGTATTTGGAATTCCCTCCGTGTTTATGTCACCTCACTTTCTGATTGGCTACATATCTCATTCAACAGCTCAGGTGAACACTACACACACTGATATCGGGCCAAAAAATCAAACGTGTTGAATATCCCCGATTTGAGGTCGGAGCGGTCCCGACGCCCTTCTGAGCCAACTAGATCACTCTTAACTCACCACACATGGCAGTAATATCTGCTATGATTATCTTTAGAGCCATCATGATAATCTGGACTTCATTAAGATTGTCAGAAGGGCAAAAATGGAATAATTCCATGAATATATGGAATATTTAATAGTGACTGTGGAGGACCAAAGACCCAACTCCCAAGACACGAGGCAGACATAGGGAAGACCAGAGCCCAAGGACCCAAAAGGGATCCCGAGCGCAGAGCCCCAAGGGGCAACCGCACGGGAAGATCCGCCCACCCACCCCCAGATCAGACCATTGGGGAGAACTGGAAGAGTCCCCCCAGCGACCACACGCACAGCCCCCGAGGCCAGCAGCAACAAACTCATGGACCCCACCGGCACCCAACACACCAGAGCAAATCCAGGAAAGTGCACAGAGGTCCGGGCCCACAGGGCGCCCCCCCTCCAAGGCCAGAGCCCAACAGGGCCAGAGGCCCCGAACCCCAGCAGGCAGTCGCTAGGTCAGGCCGGTGCATGCCCCAGCGTCCAGCCCCAGACCCCGACAACCCCCAGCACGCCGGCAGCCAGCCGCACACCCCACCGGGGGCCGAGTAGCAGCGGGCCCCCAGACAAACCAGCGGGGAGTGGGGGGGGGGGGGCAGCCTGACAAATACCCAAACATACACATACACAATCGCACCATCTCACCCTCATCCTCACACCCACTCATTCAGAGACATACAAAAAGGATGCCACATTCCACTCATACTTCCGATATATACCCCCCAGGTCCAGGACATGTGTTCACCCCCTACAGGAGGCAGCACACACCTGAAATCAGGGGGTTGACCCAATCATTCTGGGGTGGAGAGGAGCAGACAGCCGAGGCCCGGCCCGGACCGCACCAGGCCTCCAGGCCAGCCCCCTGCCGCAGAGCAGCCATGCCCACGACCACCCTACAACACCGCCAATGGCCAAGTGCACCCCCCAGCCACCCCGGTCAGCAGACCACCCATAGGAAGCAGGAGCCACACATCAGGAGTCCAAGCAGCACCAGGGAGGATGGAGAGCCAGCCCTGCCCCCGGCAACCCTCCAAGCCCCGAGCCCACCCAAAGCCCAGGACAGCATCCGGCGGCCTGCCCTTCTTCAGGACCCCCTCCCCAAATGGCAGTCGGGGAACAGGAGGGGAGTAAAGACCCTGACACACACACCCCCACCCTCAGATATACTGTTGGTGCATGTTGTTCTATAGAGTATTTAAAAAGGGAAAGAAGAAAAGGCAGAGGCCTGCGTGGTGCCAGTTTCCCTTCCACCACTACTCTAACCCAAAACCCTAAGTGTCTACATGCAAACCTTGGGGGTGGGCACAGGCACAGGAGGCGAGAGTGGTGCCATTCGGCCACCTATAGCCATGAGTGCCCACCTCAAGTTCCTATATGTGAATGTCATGAAAATGTAATGAGTGAATGTTTAAGATGTACAATAAAATTTGGGGCCCAGGTAGTTATGGCAAATAGAGATGTAATATTGTTGTTCTTATAGCACAACTGCACCCCAAAAAAACCTACATGGGTGGAGTTGAAAATGAAGAGGGCGGAGGTGTGCAGTGAGGGATGGGGAGAATAATCTGAAGGAGCAAAATGCTCCCACAGGGATTCAGCTCCCCCGCTGGTCCCAGTAAGCTCCCCCACCCCCGCTCCCCGAAACCCACCCAGGAAGAGCAGCCCAAATACCTCTCCCTCCAGACAAACCGCCAAGCCCRCAGAACCCCAGACCATGGACKGATGGAGCCCTGAAGGCCACCAGAAATCGGGACCAACAGTCCACCCCCCCCCCCCCCAAGACCTGCAAAACCCAACCCCCAGCCCCACAGCCGGTCCGCCGCCCAGAGAGGCCATCGTTCCCCAGCAAGGACGACCCAGCTGAGAGCGCCCACTCAACCATTGACAGAGGAAGGGGGCACCCAGGGCAGGCCCCCACTATGTATCTGACATCTGAGTGTTCATGAATGAAATATCATTTCATGTGTGGTGTGTTGTCTCTTGCTGTGTGGCTGTACACCACTCACTGTAGGACCAAACCTGGTATATCCATGATTTTTATCCTCACGTGTGGCCTCTCTCAGTCTTTGAAAATAGGCCGACTGTTTTAAAATCTTGTAATGTGGCTCAGCCTTAAGGTGGACAAAGTGACCAAATTACCATGATCCTGGACATGGTCCTCGTCTAGTTCACAGGTGATGGCATGGTATGCCATTATTTACATCCAAAACAGTCACACATGAGTACTATTAAGTAATATAAATGAGAGTGCAATGAAAAATAAAATCATGATGGATTTCTTCTTTTTGTTCTAAATTACTGTGATATACTCTTTTCAGAAATGGCTATCACAAGGTGTTCTGTGTATGTCCAAGTGGGAGAAGATCCAGAGGAAGACCTGAGATATTTTGTAGAGAATATGTGTTAAGGCTAGCCTGGGATTTCCTTGGAATCCTCTTAAAATAGCTGGAAGAGGTGGCTGTGGAAAGATGTGTCTTGGCCTCCCCGCACAAGCTGTTGCTCCCAGAACCTGACTTTGGAGCAAGTGGCAGATAATGAATGGATGGTTTTACTTGAAAATACTGTGTAAAATTCATTGTGCATGCATGACTTGTTAGCACTGAATCACATATACATGTGTGATGCACACAAAATGTGCAGTCACATTTATTTGTTATTTTTTATGTAAGAAATGTTTACAGTTTTAGTGGCACTTCAGTTGAAAATGAAAAAAAGCAATTCTGTTAAGTGTTTATTATTAATGACTGGTTGATTTGGAGGTCGTGGAGGGCACCACAAGGAGGCAGTGTAGCGAGCAGGCAATAGTCCGCCAGGTGGAGGGAACCTTCTTGGCAACACGTTGCAGCTTCCACACAGTGTGAAGCCAGGCTGCATCGATTGAAGCTTACTTTCTCGTCTCATCATTTCTCCTGTTTATTCAGGTAGTAATGTTTAAAACACATACAAAATCACATACAACAGGACTGTATATTATTCTGATGCTGTAAAGCTAAACTTTTTGGTTGTTTTATTAAAGGTAAACCAATTAAGTAGGTTGGTTAGGCTGTGTTCGTTGCCACAAGATGAACACGAGGTGGTGTAATGGCTGCAATCCACACTGTTATTTGAATTCTAAGTTCAAAGAGTAAAGAATCCCAGGCATTGTTATAAAGTTGAACAGCATGACTGTTTTAATTCAAAATTGTTCTTGAATGATGGTGTTAATGTAGACATTTTATTTGGAATGTTTAAGGTTACTTTATTATTGTGAATAATAATATGTAAAAAGGATTGATTAGCAGACCAAGCAGTTGTAAGTGGACATATTATTCCAGTTGATACTTAAGTAACAAAATAAACTTAAAGTGTGGAAAGCCACAGATTTACATACAAGTGAAAGCACTATTTTCTGGTAGTAAAATGGTACTGAACTTATAGAGCGCTTTTCAAGTCCCTCCGGACCCCAAAGTGCTTTACACTAACAGACATTCACCCATTCACACTCACATTCACACACTGATGATGGCAAACTAGTAAAATATGTGTGTTATAATTAAAGTGTATCTTACCCCCCTGTGAAAAGATAACTCCGCCCCAAGG